CCTCCAAGGGCAGCTGACTGTCTGTGCACATAACCCTTGTTGTGGCACACCATGCTTGACACACCTAAGAAATGTCCTAGAGTTGACAGAAGAGGTGGGGTCCCACTCTTCTCAATAAAAGAATTTTGGAGGCACAGCTCCAAAGACTGTGAGATTAAAGCTAGTTTTCTTGCACCCTAAATTGTTAAGTGTTATGGGTTGGCCTAGCTGGTCCTTTAAAAGTTCCACTGCTCCAATAAAGTGTCTGTTCCAGCAACTACACTCTATGTCATCATGGAATGGGGAGCGGGAGATCGGGTACTCAAAGCGTCTGTTACACTTTGAGATACTGATGAATAAATAAGCTTGCCTTCAAATTATTAGCATTGTTCGCATCACAAGCTTTTTCTTTTTGCCTTGTTCCATATTGGTGGAACAATTTCAACCTCAGCTCTGAGTAGAATTTGGATGCACTGCCTGAGAGGATTACTGTACTTACAGGATGATGGCTGCCAGTGGAGACTATGGGGACATAGTGAGGGAAGAAGCCTTTGCCACACACTTCCAAGGGCAGTTGAATGACTGTGCACAGCACCCTTGTTGTGGCACACCATGATTTTAATATACTATGTATTTAGATTGTTTTGATAAGTATATTGCTTGAAATGCATTGGATTGGCAAATATGTAGTGTGAGAGAGGGAGTAAAGAACATGGGAGATTGGCAAGAATTTTGTGATTGGCTGAGAAAGAAACTGGATGAGGAAGGAAGTATGTGTTAGAGATAGTGGAGTCTGGGGGAAATCAGTCTAAGAACCCAATGCTTTTTAAAAAAAAAAAACCATATGCACATATCTCCATTTAAATTAAGGGATGTGGTGGCGCTGCAGTCTAAACCGCAGAAACCTTTGTGTGCTGCAGGGTCAGAAGACCAGCAGTTGTAAGATCGAATCCACGCAATGGAGTGAGCTCCTGTCCCTTTGTCCCAGCTCCTCTCCAACCTAGTAGTTCGAAAGCATGCAAATACGAGTAGATAAATAGGTACCATCTCAGTGGGTAAGGTAAACAGCGTTCTGTGTATAGCCACGTGGCGGAAACTGTCTACGGACAAACGCTGGCTCTACGGCTTGGAAACGATGATGAGCACTGCCCCCTAGAGTTGGACACAACTGACTAAATGTCAAGGGGAACCTTTACCTTTAACTTTACCATTTAAATTGCGTTGAGCACCTCAGATCAGTTTTTAAAAGGGTGAATACAACACACACTAGCAAGCGTAGATTGCATTGTTTATTTGAGCATCAGTGATTTTCTCTCTCACCCAGTGAGATTGTGGCAGGCAGTGAGCATCAGTGATTTTTTTTGTTCTTCACCAGAAGTCCATTTATTTTAATGGAGCTGTGTGATTGATTCATGGAAATTGATTCCACTTCTGTGAACACATTCATCCACACTAATTTTTTAAGTAGCCCTCCCACTGTCTGACTCTCACAGCCTCTTGCCCTGGCTGTCGTCCTGCCTCTGTAGAGATCATAGGGTCCAGCTGAGAAATGGGGAGAAGCTGAATCATGGCTGCAGATCATGTGGGGGAGAGAGAGAAGAAGAAAAGAGAAGGGAAGAGAAGCGAGGGGTGGTGGTGAAAGGACATCAGGGAAAGTGCTTAATGGTAGCTGATCAGGCTACAATGGGCCATTTGCTGTGGGGATGGTAGTAGTGCACCAAATGACACTTTACCTTAAGAGACCATTTGTAGCAAATGTGATCCAAAGAGGTCTATCTAGTACCCAGCCTGGACAGGTCATAGTTAATTCAATTCTTTAAAAACCTCTGGTTTATGAATGGGATATTCTTCTTTTGACCCTATGATTCAAAAAACAAACAAACAAAACCCCAAGAAATGACCCAATATTGCTACACAATTTTATGCTCACATTGCCAGCAGGAAAATGGCAAGCGTTACATAGCAAAGAGTAGCTTGGACATTGACAAAATCAATGCCAGCGGTCAAGATGGCCCCTCTCTGCTCACTTAGAGTGACACCACTTAAGGGAAAATCCCAGGAGCTGACTCCTCTTTTCATTAGTTAATTACTTCTCACTTGTACACAAAACAATTGCCAGGGTAAACTTACTCACAAGTAAATTGTTTAAAACCTGCTTTGAGTTCATGCCCAGTCACAAAGCAAAATAAATAAATAATAATAATCCTGTAATTTCAGTTTAAATCAAGTGCTGAATATTATTTTCTCTTTCTTAAAATATATTTTGAAATATTTTTACAGGAAGGTGTTAAATGCTTTCTT